AAAAAAAAAAGAGGGGTTTGTGGAGGGACTGGATTCTGTGTTGGAGGAGCACGGGACTCCACATAAGGAGTCCTGTTGAGGAAGAAAGAGTAGCTGCTATCTATGGAGAGAAAGGGGGATTTTCTTATTCTGAGATTAGTGCCGGGGAAGGACGAGGGGACAGTGAAGGAGATGGAATGCAGAGAAACAGTGTTGGCTGCACCCACATCCTCTCAAGTTTGAGACCCTCTCCTCTCAAGGGATTTGGAAAGTACCACCTGAAGCCAAGGTTGAATTAGCTTCCGGTCTCACTTCAAGATCCAGTCCTCACATGACCCAGCCTTCCTGTACAACCTGGGATGCCCTGTTTGTCAGCCCAAGTGTCAGGGCAGTTAATGCTCCTTGGCCTGTTCCAAATTATATCTAGGATGAAATAAAGCAATTTTCTTAGTAGATATGACTCTGTATACAATATCCAAGTATCTTGGGGCTCTGGAGTTGGATTTGTTCATTCTCTATAGTTTTTTTTTTTTTCCCCCTTAGGAAATCTGTCTACATACACGTGATTTCTTTCCTACCTGGAAGTCTTGCTCTATGGCTGATACAGATTTAAGACGAATGCAAAGCCTTCTCGCCCTCCCAGGCTCCTTCTTGGGGTCTTTTCTGGCCCGCAAAGACCTCTTCATCTCTCATCTTTCAGGGTGTGCCTTGATCTGAAGCTCAGAATACCAGTAAGTGTCTTACACACGCCCAGACTGCTTTTTCCTTCCTTGTAATGTGCTCTGCCCAGGGTTGGGTTTAGAGTACCTATTCAAAAACATATGAGGGACTAGAGACATGGTTCAGTGGTTAAGAACACTGGGTGATCTTCCAGAGGGCCTGGGTTTGGTTCCTAGCATTCACATGATGGCTCACAACCATCCTCAACTCCAGTTTAAGGGATCCAACGCCTGTGTCTGGCCTCTGTGGGCATTGTACAATACTGGTGCACTTACATACATGTAGGAAAAATACCCATACAGATAAAATAAAAATAAGTAACTAAAAAAACAATCAAACATAAGCCAATCTCATTAAAGAAAATTAGTGGGGCTGGAGAGATGGCTCAGCGGTTAACAGCACTGACTGCTCTTATAGAGCACTGACTGCTCTTACAGACTACCCAGTGCCCACATGGTAGTTAACAATTGTCCATAACTCCAGCTCCAGGGGAAACTAACCCTCTTCTAACCCCTACAGCACTGCACAACACAGGTACACTTACACACATACAGGCAATACACTCATACACATAAAAATAATAATAATGAATACAAATTTTAAAACGGAAAATTAGTGAAACTTCTCCCTTGAAAGAGCATTCTTCTTTGTGCAGTAAAGCATAGAGAAACCACTATCTCCACCCTCACACCTGGGCATCTGAAAGACCGTCCTACCTCTTTGCCATCCTCTGGCCCTACATTCTACTTTCACTACACAATTTCTGTATGTTGTCTAAAATGCTAATGGGATACTTCACTTCAGGAGTTAAAAACTTCCTAACCCCTGGAAACGGTGAAAGGCCTTAGCATAGAGTGCAAGTCCTTCATGGTTTGACCTTATAGCTTCTTCAATCACATCCCTGTCTACAGACATTTGGAAAAGCCCAACTCCACATTAGGCCTTTACAGAACTGACTTGTTAGCTCATAACACTGTCTTGCCTTTCCCTCACTCCCCTCGCAGCCTTCAACAATGTTAGCCTGGACTCATTTGTCCTTTCTGGGTTTAGCTGTCCCTAGAGTCATTCATTCTCCAGGCCCTGAGGAGAGGTGATCTTTCCTGTTTACTTCCACTGATCTGCCATTTTCCCTCTAAGTGGCAGGAGTCACTTTATACAGTAATTTCCCATTCATTGGTTGGTTATTTCTGCTGGGAAATATGTTTATGAGGAAAGGAATCACTCTATTTTGCTTGCCTCTGCACCTCACGCATGCCTAGCAGAGTAGGTGTTTGCTGAATACTTGTTTAATAAATAGTTCCCTAAATAACTAAGTGAAGGCTTTCTCTTTCTCTTTCTTATTTCTCTAATATATTTCTCAACCTCACCAAATATTTGAACCTCTGGGCAAAGCAACTGGGCTCTAGTGAGGGGAATTATTCCTCTCTTCTTATCAAACTTAGTAGTATGAAAAGAAGTCAAGATGGTGACATCCCCCAAATTCAGATTGTGGGCAGGGGCTGGACCATGCCAGCTGGGAAAGAATGCCACAATCTTTACCTATAGACAATACTCATAACTGTGCCTAAAGACTCTACGAAGGAACTGTTTAGCACAGGAACTGGGGAAGACTAGGGCCAATGAACCAGGGTGACAGTTCATAGAAGAACATAGGGGAAGGGAATTTTATTTTATTTTTGTAGTACTGGGGATTAAATAAGTGTGCTAGGCAAATGCCTTACCATTGAACTATACAGCTTTGCCCTACTCCCGCCTCCCACGTTTTTTTTTTTTTTTTTTTTTTTTTTTTTTTTTCATGAGAAAGTTTTTCACTAAGTTGTCCAGGAAGGCCTTGCTACCAGTCCTAACTTGATTTTCAAAACAAAACAAAAAACAATAACAAAACAGAGTTGACTTGATCACTTTTTTCCCTTTTCTGACCAGGAGTGGAGGACAAGTGCAAAGTGGAGATCTGAAGAGAGGAGAAGAGATGTAACTCCTCCCTCTAATTCCATTGGTTTAATCAACATTTGCCAAGTGCCTACTCTGTGCCAGGTACGGTGCTAACCCTGGGGATTCGGTGTGAATAGGCACCAGCCATCTTTCCTCTCTTCACGGAGCTTATGGTCTAGAGCTGTGCCCAGCATCACTCAGTCACATGAGTAAATTTTATGTGCATCTTAGATCATTTCAAAGTAATAGCCTCTGATTACAGTCTATGAAATAAGGGAATCTGGCCTAGTCAGAGAAAGAACGGAAGGCTTCCTTGGGGAAGTAAGGAATTCAGAGTGCTGGAGGGTGTGATAGGAGCAGGATGGAGTGTAGGAAGAACAGTAAGCATGCCACTTAGAGGAACCTGCACTAATGGCCTTTTCATCTCCATCAAGAACTACTGTGGGGGCTGGAGAGATGGCTCAGCAGTTAAGAGCACTAGCTGCTCTTGGAGAGGACCCAGGTTTGATTCCCAGCACTCATATGGCAGCTAACAACCATCCTCAATTCCTGTTCCAGGAGATTTGATGACCTCTTCTGACTTAAAAAAAAAAAAAAAAAATCGCTGCAACCAAGCCCAAATTCTGTACATTTATGGCAGCCTGTTATAAGAAAAGTTGTATGTCAATGTAGTCTCTCTCTCTCTCTCTCTCTCTCTCTCTCTCTCTCTCTCTCTCAACTTTATTTAAAGGACTTGTGTGAAGAGGCTGCTGATCAGAACTGTAAGTTGCATAAATTGCAGTGTAGGTCCAGGGTGACCAGTCCCCATCCAGTCACAGAAAGCTCTGCCCACCAAACAGCCTCATTAGCAGGCCCTGAATTCAGGAGCAGCTTCCCCTCAAAGTTGGGTGCGCCCCGCGGAGGCAAGCAAAAACGAAAGGCCAGCAGGAGACCACTCGCCTGTACCAGTGAACTGATCCCCCTATTTCCATAAGAGCATGGCGCAGCAGCTATATTTGAAAACGGAGGTAAACAAGAGCTCAGCTCAAGTGGATGGGGCACAACAGCTGTGGGAGATTAATCACACGCGCTGCTGCAAGTCACCAGGTCGCAGGAGGCCCGCAGGCTTCGCTTTTGGTGCCCCACCAGAAGGCCGGATGTGTTCCTATCACATACCCACAGCCCTCCCCCATCGGGAGTTTCTTGACCACCCAGGAGCTCTGCACCTGGCACCCAGCTGCAGTCTGCGTTTCTGATAAATTACACTCAATTTCAATCTTTCTGTCTGGGAAACCTTAGCACTAAACGTCCAAAGGTTTTTTGTTTGTTTGTTTGTTTGTTTGTTTGTTTGTTTTAATTGCCCAAAGAGAAAAGGAAATAGAGAGTGAGGGCTAGGAGGCAGGCAGAGAGAGAGTAAATTTATGGCACTGCATTAAAGGCGTTTGTTCTATTTAATCCCCTCCCCGCACCGCCTTCCCCCATGATTAAAAATAAAACACACTGAATAAAAAGGAAAAACTGCCTCCCTCTCCCTTTGCCCCCAATCGGAGCAAATCCTTTTCATTCTTTGCCCCGTGGCTCAGGTCCTCAGGGCAGGTCAGCCAGGGCCTGCAGGAGCAACGCTAACCTCTAAATGAGGGCCGGGAATGTGTGTGTGTGTGTGTGTGTGTGTGTGTGTGTGTGTGTGTGTGTCTGTGTGTGTGTGTGTGTCTGTGTGTGTGTCTGTGTCTGTGTGTGTGTTGGGAGGCGAGCTTAGTTGGGGACTTGGAGTCCCTACACCCGCCCGGGATCTCCCAGACCGATACAGTCTGGAGGCTCTGGACTGAAGCGCAGCTCCTTGACGCCCGCCCCCTTGGCCCGGGAGGGTGCGCTGGGGCTGCAGTTCCCGACCCGTGTCAGTGGAGTCCCGAGGTTAGGGTGCGCGTGTGCGTGAGTGTGTGCACGCGGGGGCACGTTGAGTGAATAACGCCCCCCTCCCCGGCCCCCAAACGCGGTGGGCACTCAGTTCCAAGAGCTCAACACACCCTGGCACAGGAGACACACACATGTACACATACACCGGGCATGCAGTCTCCCCATTGAGCTGAGCACCCGCCACTAAGCCAGCAAGCCCACAACAGGACTGCACACACGTTCCCAGTGCCATCGCATACAGGCATCTTTCGCAGCACCCCCAGCACCCTCCCGTAGACACTCTGCCAGATCCCGTCCGCCCCCCCACCCCCCACCCGCCAACACCGCATACACAACGTACGTACACTTTCCAGAGCACCCTCCCCCATTTCTGGCACTAAACCCGCAGGAAGGCAGTGCAGGCGAATGATCTTGAGAAATAACTTAATTCTTCTCCTCCAGGGACCCAAGGGCAGGAGGCTCACCCCATTACTCACCGTTTACCCCTCGGCCTCCCGAGCCTGGTGGGCAAGAGAGGTGGGCTAGGAAGGTGCGCGACTCCGGGGCCGCCCGGCTCACCGGCCGCAGCGGCTCATCGCCCCCGCGGGCTGCGGGCCGGCCGCAACGGCGTCCGGAGCATGACAGTCGGCCGCCGCCCGCCCGGGTTCGAGGGCTTGCAGCTGTCACCGAGCTGCGGGGCGGCGCATGGGGAGCTCGGGCGCTGGGCCCGGAGTGCCGACCCTCGGCGCAATCGGAGGATGAGGGCAGAGCCAACTGCCGGAGAGAGGCCCGGAGTCCCCGCTGGCGGCTGGGGATCCCTAGCGGGAGGGGCGGGACGGTGCGCCCGAGCGGCTCCGAGGGACCCCGGCTGCAGCGGCGGCCGCGTCGCCCGGGTTTCCCGGGCTGGGAGCGCGCCGGCTCTCCGCCTAGCGCGCGGTCACCGCGGGGGACGACTCGGCCTCGCCGCGCGCAGAAGGGACGCGCGCAGGAACTGGTTTCTGGGCGAGCCGAGAGCTTTGCCCATTAAGCCTCCGCAAGAAGCCAAATCAAAAAGCCAATCTCCAAGCCTCCAACCCCGACGTCACCCTATCAGCTGGGAGACAGAGCCATACCGAAAGACAAGCCGCGCTTATTTAGCCTTGCGCGCGGAGGTGGGAACACTTCCACCGCGCTTCCCCGGCCGGCGGCGGGGACACCCAGCCCGCACCTCGCGTGACGGCAGATCGAGTTCGGACGCACCCTCTACTTCGAGGCCACCCATCCAACCTGTGAGTCCGGGCACCGGGAGCTTCGGGGCAGACAACAGCTCCGAGAAGGCGACGCGTTCTGACCTGGATTCCCCAGAGTTGGGAGCTCCGGGCGGGCGCTCAGCACCGGCTTTCCCCTTGTCCTCAGGAGACGCCGCCCGAAATTCCGAAATTAAGTCTCCTCTAAACACATCTGTGGTTTTTAAATATAGCAGGGGACGATTACCCAGGCAGGGTCCACCCAGGCCTAGGGGAGGAGTCGAGGGGGATGGAGGTCGGCAGTGGAGGAAAAATAAAAACTCCTTTTCTCCCCAGCTCCCCCCAGCCTCCCTTAGTGCAGACAGAACTCAGCCTGTCATTTTCTCAACCTAAGTCAAACAACAGCTTTATGAGAGACTCTTGGGTGAGCGCTGCTATGTTGGTTTGCGGGGGGGGGGGAGGCTAAAAATAAAAGGGGGTTGCCTCCCAAATTGCTGCTTACTCTGGGCCTGGAGACCAGAGGAGAGATGGGCTTTTGATGCTGCAGCAGAACTAGGATTTGGGGCTTGGCTCAGGAGAAATGTACACACACAGCCTTAAATCAGATGCCTGTAATTTCTGCTCTATTGGTCAGGCGTGGTCCTAGAGGCTGGAGGGGTGGGCAGGCCTCACCCAAGGATTGGGTTGCCTGCCCTCGGTTTATCGTGGCATCAGACAGCTGTAAAACAAGAGTGGTGACTGGCTCTGTATCAATGCCAGTGCAAATGGGACGGAAGTTAACTCCTGAAGCTTTATTTCCTGAAGCAGAGTATTCGGGGATCAACACGTTCCTCATAAAACCAAGCATCAGCACCTCCTCAGTGGTGCCAGGGTTGGTGCTAGTGAATTCGGTGGTATTATTTGATATCATCCTCATGAGACTTTGAAATAAATGCAATTATTACTTCCATTTTTCTGTTGTGGGAATTTTGTCTCAGAAGTTAAATAACTATCTCAAGGCTTTGGCCAACAGAGCTAAGGATGAGACTAAGGGGGAACCAACTGGAGTTACACTGACAAAGAATACAGCTTCTAGCATCCATACATCCCTGGAAGTTTTGGTCCAAAGGAATTAAGTGGGAATAAGACTAGAAAGTGTCTGAGCTTGGGATAAAGTCAGTTATTTTCTGGTCCTTTGATGCAGTATTCTTTCAGCAAGTCATGAAATTGTCCTGTTCTGGGTTTGGGCCCTGGATGCACTCAGTTTAGAGTATGTTCAAACTCTGGACACTTTATGGACCTTGAATTTGGTGATTATTTTAAGCTACGCTAACTTGTATACGAGTTGTTATGTATTATGTGACGACTAGGTAATTTAAGTTGTCACTAGTGAAAAAAAAATTTTTGATTTTTGCACACATACAGAATTTGGTGTTATATTTTTGGCAACTTACAGTTAGAGCTAAGACTGACTTTGTGAGGTGTCAATGATTTCTGAAGCTGTGCCCAGTCAAGCAGGATTACCTGGTATTTGTTCCCATGGACTTCAGTCAAGACAGAGATGGCTGCAGAATGTACACACCGGAATAGCTTTTAGGAAAGAATTTTAAAAAGATACATCAGGGGCTGGAGAGATGGCTCAGCAGTTAAGAGCACTAGCTGCTCTTGCAGGGGAACTAGGTTTGGTTTCCAGCACAGACATGGCTGCTGATAACCATCGGTAGCTACAATTCCAGGGGATTCAATGCCCCCTTCTGATTGCCACGGGCATTACACACATGTAGGCAATACACTCATACACATAAAATAAAAATACCAGTATTTTTTAAAAAGTAAAAAGACAACAAATTCCTTACAAAAGTGGGAGCCTCCATGACTCAGTAATTTTACTGGAAAATGTGTCCTATGGCAATAACTAAGGTTACATGTAAATATTTAGTTATATGGATGCTTGTGGTGATGCTTGTAACAGTAAAAACCTGAAAGTATCTGAATTTTTCAAAAAATGGGTGGAATAAATCATGTTATAATGACATAATGGTGGAATCTACTATATAAAATGCTGATATAACATTCTGTGTATTGACATGGAAAGGTTTTTATGATACATGACAATGAGGGGAAAGCAGGAAGAGAGAGAGAGAGAGGGAGAGAGAGAGAGAGAGAGAGAGAGAGAGAGAGAGAGAGAGAGAGAGAGACTATATGGTTATGGTTATGCCCTGGTAAAATAAAAATGACCAAAATGATAAAAGCTGTTCTTGGTGGGATTTCTGGTGATTTCCTTTTTCTTTTTAGATAAAATTTTCTTGAGGTGTAATTTACATATAATAACATTCACCTGTTAAAACTCAGATTGATGATTCTCTGAGTTTGGATCTTCAATATCCCCCAAAGGTAAAGGCTTGCTTCCAAGGTACTATTGAGAGGTGGTGGGAACTTTGGGGGTGAGACCTAGAGGGAGATCTTTAGGTCATTAGAGGTATGCCCTCAAAAAGGATTGAGACTGAGTAGATGGCTCAGTTGATAAAGTGCTTGCCATGTAGTCATGAAGATCTGAATTTGGTTTCCTAGTATACACGCAAAAAGTCAGGCATGATGGTTCATGCCTGTAATCCCAGGGCTGGGTGGAGGCTAAGGGTCAACAACATGAGGATCCCTAGAGCTCATTGGCCAGCCAGTCCAGCCAAATAGGCAAGTTCTAGGTTGAGTGAGGGAGCCTATCTCAAAAGTGAAGGTGAAGAGAGATAAAGGAAGACATCCAGCATCAAACTCTGACTTGTACATGCATGTGCACACACATGCAGATGCACCAGCATGATAGGTAGAGAGCGGGCGGGAGCAAGCGGCGCAGATGGAGGAAGGCACCGAGGCACAGATGGAATTCTCAGCGGGATACAGATTTATTTCACACGGGGCACCTTTCCCTCGGGGAAGGGAAAGATGTCAGGGAAAGATGTCTGCCCACGGGTTGTGAGCTGGGACTTTATATATGGGGGCTTTAGGGTGTGGAAGGGGGAATGTTGGGGGGAGAAATCAGGGAGGGGGAAGCAGGTAGGATTAGGGTCTGGAAGTGTTTACTTTTTCCCTCTTAAGATAAGAGGAAATCTGCTTATCTTTGGAGGTCAGAGGAAAGGCAGGCTGCTTCTTAGCAGAGTTTGTTCTTTTTGACCTCAAAGGTCAAGGTGCTTATCAGCTAAGTTCCCTTTTTCGGGCTCCAAAGTCTGTGGGTCCCTGTTGGGGAGGGGGGAAGTTGCTGCTGTTTGGAACCCTAACACAGCACACATATGCACACAAATACACAAACACACATACACACACACACACACACACAAAGAATTGTAGGATTCTATCACTCCTCTCTTATGAGCAGGCCTAAAGCAAATTCAGCCAAGCGGTCATTAACTGGAACTTTCAAAACAAACCTTTTCTCCTTATAAGCTAAGTATTTTAGATATTTGTTACAGCAATGCAAAATTGACTAGCACAATGAGTTTGGTAAAAGTATATACAAGTAAAAGCAACAACCCAGATCAAGATACAGAACACTTTCTCCAGCACCTTGGGTTTATCCTCCCTCCCCCCACCACCCCAAATCAATCACTGATATTCTTTCTCAATGTAGTTTTGCTTGTTTCAGAGTTTTCTTTGTTATGTTTAATCTGTTGCTATTTGTCTTAGCTACTTTTCCTGTTGCTATGATAAAATACCTTGACAAAAGCAAATTAAGGAAGGAAGGGTTTAGTTTAGCTCACAGTTCCAGGGTAGAGTCTACCATGGTGGGGATGTCATGGTGGCAGGAGCTTGAGGTAACTGACCACATTGGCCCCACAGTCAGGGAGCAGAGAGGATGAATGTGCATGCTCAACTAGCTTCCTCCTTTTTATGTAGACCAGGGCCCAAGCCCAGGGAATGATGCCACCCTAATGTAGGGTGGGTCTTCCCACCTCAATTAACATACTCAAGATAATCCCTTAGAGGCAGGCCTAGAAACTTGCCTAATCTAAATAATCCTTCACAGATGTGCCTAGAGGCTTAGTACTTGGGCGATTCTAGATCCTGACATACAGACAAGCAACACTGACTGGCCAATGTTTCTTCAGTGGGAATTAGCTGTTCTATAAAACCACAGTAGCAAAAACTTAGAAAATAGTATTGGTCTAGCACGACAGGCATGGTGGCATGGGCTTTTAATCTCACCCAGCCCTGGGAGGCAGAAGCAAGGAGAGTTCAAGGTCAACTTCTTCACATAGTATCTTCCAGGAGGGCTGAGACTAGGGAGGCCCCGGGAAAAAAAAAAAAAAAAAAAAAAGAAGGGAGGAAGGAAGGAAGGAAGGAAGGAAGGATAATATTGGATAGTATTGGTCTTAGCATAAAAACAAAAACAAGGGACTGGAGAGATGACTCAGGGGTTAAGAGTGCTGACTGCTCTTGCAGAGGACCCCAGTTCAACTCCCAGCACCCACATGGTGGCTACAAACTGTCCTTAACTCCAGTTCCAGGAGAATCCGAAGCCCTCTTCTG